TTTCCTAGTAGTTTGTTTGTTTGTAATCTTTTGAAACAGGAGCTACTTGAGCCAATGGCAGCCCAGAGGCAGGAGGATCTCTAAGTCTGAGGCTAGCCTCGTCTACAGAGTTCAGTTCTCTGACAGCTAGGGCTACACAGAGAAAACTGGTCTCAAAACAAAAAAAGAAAGAGGAGCTACCTATGCAGCCTATACTGGCCTCCAGTTTACAATCCTCCTGTCTCAGCCTCCAGAGTACTGCAAGCACCTATTCAAACCCATTCATTCACTCAAGTATTCCCCGGATACCAACTATGGACCCAAGTATCTAAGTGCTGGAAGTCCAGTTGTGGAGCAGACCCGTTCCTGGCCTTCCTGCTACTCCCCACCCATGGAGCAGAAAGTGGCTTTACATCAGTTACTGCCCATGCTCCACAGCTTCCCTTCTTAAACAAGCTGCCTGTCTGTACCAGCAGCCTAGTCACAGCACAAAGCTGCTGTGGGGCTCTGTCCTATCACCCCAGAAGGCTCTCTGGCCTTCCAGGAGTAGGGAGCAGGCTGCCTGTTCTCTGAATTCCTCATGAGGTAGCAAGATTTGTTGAACTGACTAAACTGCCTTGCAGGATGTGGTGTTTAATGAGGATGCTGCATTAATCTGACAATTAAGGGCTCTGGTCCCACTGCGCAGTTCTTTGAACGGGGGCCATATGAAAACTGGGACCCTGGCTGGCAGGCCAGAGGCTGCAGGCTTCCCTTAGTTACAGCTGCTAGCCATCCCACAAATGGCCGAGGGCTGCTCTGGCTTAGACAGCTGAACTGTTCAGGAAAATGGACTGACTTCTACCTCTTTCGGCGCAATAGATGGACTGCATTTCATGCTGACACTGAAGTTACCTGCAAAGAAAAAGCATCTAATATCTGCATGCTCCAGGCTCTCAGGCTCTGGGACAAGAGCTTTGTAACATTTCCTCACAACGGTCCCATAAGGCCCCACAGGGCAGGCCTCTCTCCAGACCTAGTCACACTGCTCCTCAAAGGCTTGCCCCAGCGGTCCAGGGTGACAGAGCTAAAGGCAGAGCTGGAGTCTGAATCCAGACAGTCTGCACCCAGAGCCATGAAATTGCACTTTCCACCCTTTGATCAAAAGCGCCTGATTCCTTAATGACCAAGTGCCTCCAGATAACACCCGAAGGCAGTGGGGCTCCGTAGCCTCGACGCCATGTGTGCACGCACACACATACAGGCAGAGTTGATGCACATTATTGAACATCTACTTTGTGCTAAGTTGCCCTAGGGATCTATATGGCTAAGGAGGGGCTCCTTCCTACCTTCAGACTTTATCGAAGGAGAGGACTCAGCTAAAACTTCTGGCCCATTTACAAGCTCTGGGGACCCTGCACAGTTACTGAACACCAGTGGCTCTCTCCCAGGGCCTTTTCCATAGCCCCCAGGTTTCTGCCATCCCAACTGCTGCTTTGTGAAAGGTGGTTCTGGAATTTTGAAAACCCAAACACTGACTGCTATGGCTTCTTCTTCTTCTTCTTCTTTTTTTTTTTAAAGTGAGAAATCAAGCCTATTAAACCTAAATTTTTCAGAAAACAAACAAAACTGAGTAAGCTGTAGCTGTGGAGACAGCCAGACTGACACAACCCCCCCCCCCCTCCACACTTAGGGCTGACCTGCAGAGAGCCTTCTGCAGGCCCTGCTGCAGCAGAGCTGGGCTGTCCGTGGGCAAGGCCAGCCACTACCGAAGAGCAGACTCAAGCTCCCAACTCACCTATTCACCCCTGAGCTGAGGCTGCCAAGGCAGGCTAATTACACAGGCAATTACCAGAGCACACAGTTCAGACCCATCACCCAAGTCCAGAGGGACCTGTGGGGGGAGGAAGGGAGGAAGGAAGGGAGGCAGCCGACCCAGGTCGGGAGTGATGAAGCCTGAGGCCTGTCTAAGACCCCAGGCACTCCCCTGCTCCCCCATGAGGTGACAAGTAGGTCACTTCTTCTTGCTCCCTTCTTAAATCTCGGGAGAATTTGGGCTACTAATTTCTCCCTCTCAAATAACTTCAATGGGACATTCATTGAAAATAAAAGTATGCATGCCATGCTTCTAAAATCCCTCTCCTGAGATTCTGTGTGATTGACCAGGTAGCTATGGCTAGGTCCCCCTAGCCTAGCCTTTGCCCTTTACATCCTGAAGCCTGTGGCCTTGCCCACCTGGCAATAAAAGTTCATCAGACCATGCACCATGGTGCTTGTGCCATCATGGGTCACAGGGCAGTGGGGCCAACAAACCTTCTGGAAAGGGGGGCTCTTGTGTTGGCTGGGCAGTTAGTCTTTAGGACACACCCCCAGCCTTGACTCTGGGCACAGAAAGAGGAGCTGACCAAACCCTTGAGCATAACTCTTATCTTCAGTCCAAAATTCAGAGGCCAGTTCCTTTCTCCCCACCCAGCTAGCTCAGGCCCTTCCTCCTCCGCAGCACCAACCACTGTGCGGCCCGGAGGGGGAAATTCGGGAGACATATGGAGGAAAGTGGAAGCAGGCCTGTATCCATGGCTGTAACTACGGGCAGGTGCTATCAGTAACCTGATTATTTTACAACTGGGGTCAACTTCTCTGGAACTGGGTTCCTGGTGCCTCTGAAGCTGAGCATTTGCATCTTCCAGGGCTCGGAATTCTGGGGCGTGCCTCCTACAGTATTTTCCAGACCTTTCCTCAGAGCTGTAACTCTATCTCAACCACTCACTTGAGAAAGAAAGGGAGGAGGATTTACCGAGAATTCAGTGCTAGTGGAGGCTATGAGGCCTGATCTGGAGCCCTGGGTGTGGGTTTCAGACCATGGTGGCAGTGGGGGTGTTCAAGGATGCTCCAGGGCCAGGCAGGAAACAGACACTGCAGCTGGCTGCCCCGCCTCTCACTGCCCCCAGGTTTTGGGGCAGCTGGGTAGAATCCCAGTGTGGGCAGTTGCTCCAGCCCCAGCTCTCAACCTTGCATATATACTAGGATGTGGGAGGTGGCTTCTCAGTTGGGCACTGCCTTCTGGGTCACCGGTGAGCCCAGCCAGGTCAGGGAATGCTCAGCCCCTGAGCTGCTTGGGGTGAGCATTATGCACATCACTCAGAATATGCCAAGAAAGTGCTGAACCACATTTGACCCCAACTTAACTACTTCAGCTCATCAGACACTTATTAATGGAAACTGAAAACTCCCAGGATCCAGAGCAAGCAAAGGTTCATGCCCCTGTTGTGATGGGGTTGCATTAAAGAAACAGGAGGGTGATCCGAGTTAGCTCCTGGGCACTTGGGACTTCCAAGGCTGTTGTTTAATGCTGTACCCCATCAATGCCCACCTGGCCACCAGAAGAGGTGGTGAGTCTTCCTGAGACACAGCCCACACAATTCCACTTCTTGCTAACAGACCTTGGCTTACTAGCCATACAAACACACTCTTCTAGGAAAAAGGGAGCTGGGAGGCTGGGAGGCTTCCTTCTAGCCAATCATCCAGCACACTTGGAGTAGTCTCTCCTTCCTCCTCCCCCACACACTCACTCGAATACTCTCACACTGCCAGTGCCTGTCAAAAACATGTTCGTGGACCCATGTTCATGCTCCACTGTCCCCACCATAGTGGATGCCTGGGCGCTGGAGTGAGCATTTTCCACACCTTCCCACTAGTGTATGGGCTTCTGTTTCTAAGCAAAGGCAACTGACTATTTTCCCAGCATTCCTCACTATGAGACCTTGCTGATACACAGCTCTTGCCATCAATGGGGATCTGAGTTTCTTGGGCAAGCAGGGTCCTTCCAGCCAAAAGGATGGCCAGAGGGGAAGCACTCTGAACTAACTTTCTCGAAGTCTATCCTTCCAAGAAAAGGACTCAGGCTAGACTAAAAAGTTCTAGAGCAACTCAGAGATGGACCAGCTCCCCATTGCCCCAGGGTGGCTGAGGCCCTGGGGAAGAAGTTCCTCAAAGTTAGACTTCTCAGCAGGGAGGTAGGCTGGGGTGCTACCACTGGTTGGTAGAAAGGTGCTGAATGGGTCAGAGAGCAAAAGGAGGTGCTGCCCTGGGACTACTCTACAGGAGAGCCCAGCAGAGGAGCCTGGATTGCATTCAAAGACATTTGGGCTCAATGAAAGGGTAATTTACAACCCGGGGTTAAGCTACCCACTGGGGCCTGGGCCATCAATGGGCCCTTTCCCCCACACCAACCCACAGCTCAGAAGCAGGCATGTTTCAGGGGACTTGGCTCCACCATCACAGGCTCTGCCCACAGGAGTGAGGAGCTCACCAATACTCTCCCCAGGCCCCAACACGGGTGTGTGCCGTGGGGGGAGGGGGCTTCCAGCTGATTCTGGGATAAGTAGGGCTTTATCTCAAGGGAGAATCTATTTCAGGCCACAATCCTCAGAAAGAGGGGGAAATCACAGAGTCCAAACACCATTTCAGGTGAAATCAGGAGGTTATTCATCTCCCCTCAGAGCAGACAGAAAGAAAAATCAATGTTTTAGAAGGGGAAAGGGTTCCATTTGAATTAATGGGTTTGTGGCTTCTCCATTGATCTGCGCCTCTTCACACTTTCTTTTTGTGCTTTTGTGCTGTGAGGGAGAGGGGAGGGAGAAGGGAATGGCAGGGAGGGGGCTCTCGGTAAGGAAGAGGACGGTCTAACCTTAACCTTTCTCCGGGAATAATGCTAATTAGCGAGGCTTAATGAGAACTTCCCCCAGGAAGCTCGGCCTGGTAGAGGCGGCCGGACTCCCCGCAAACGCAGCTCAGAGTGAGAGTAGGGTCACTTCTGAACCCAAGAGGCCGGAATAGGAAGGCGAATTGCACTCCCCCGCCTCCACCAGTCCCCTGCTTACCAGTGTATCCTGCCCTGGAGCCCTAGGTGAAGGGCGGCGAGCAGCAGGAGGGCGGAGGTGTAAATCCACCTTAACCCTTGCGCGCGCTCTCCGCAGGCTCCCGCGCGGTGTGTCCCTTCACCAGGGGTCCCCGAAACCCTTGCTTCTGCTCCGAAGGTGCACATGAGAGGAGCTGTCGGTCCCCTGGTGGAGCGACAGGAGCCTGCCAAAGTGGGCTCAACTGTGCAAACCGTGTCTCAACTCCCGGCGCCGTGGCATGAGCCCCTCCCTGCCACTGTACGCTTCCCGTCCCCACATCCCCAAACACAGTCCACTTCCTTTCTCCCGGAGGCAGCGGCCACCCGAGCCTGGCCCCCGCCCCGCGAACGTCCTCCTCCCGGGGACGCGGTGCGGAGCCCGCTGCAAACGGCGTGGCCGCGGCACAATACCGCGGCGCGGCGCACACAATCACCGCCCCCCAGGACCGGCGGCGCGCACGGCCAGGAGTGGGGTGCGCCCGGCAGCTCCGGGCACTTGAAGCTAGGCGCACCTCTCGGGCGCCCCGCAGGCCCGGGAGCGCAACCTCCGCCCCTCCCCGCTCTCGGGCACACTCGCCCGCCCCCAGCCCCAGCCCACTCCACCCAGGGCCAGCAGCTCGCCAGGCGCAGGAAGCTCCCCGTGAGTCCCCCTCCTCGGAACCCCCCATCTCCCCCAACCGCAGCTCAACGGCCAGCGGCAGGGCAGGAGGAGGGGGCGGCGGCCGAGGGCCCAGGACCAGTCCGGTCGCGGGGTCCCCTAGGACTCCGTACCTGGGCGGGCGGCGAGGCGCAGACCGCCGGTCTGGCTCTGGGAGTGAACCGGGCAGGAGGCGGTGACAGCCCCACCGCTCCAGCTGCTGCTGCTGCTACTGCTGCTGCCGCCGCGGCCGCCCGGGGAGAGGGGCTGGCACCGCTGCGGCGCGTCACTGCCCGGCCCGGGGGCGGGGGTGGCCAGGGGGAGGGCCCAGGCGAGCGGCGGCGGCGGCGGCGGCGGCGCCGCGGCCCGGGAGGAAGGGGGAGGGGGGCACCGGGCACGGGGAGGCGGGGGAGGGGGCGGGACCGGGCACGGGGCGGGGGCCGGGGGGAGGGGAGCGCCGGAGGACGCACTCAGGGGGAGTAGGAGGAGCAGGAGGAGGAGGAGGTGGAGGGGCGGGCGAGAAGGAGGAGTGGGCATGGGGGGAAGGGGGAAGAGAGGAAAAGGAGGCACCCAGGGAGAGGGGAGAGGAGAAAGGAAAGTGGGGTGGGGGAAGAGGAGGAAGGAGGGGGTGTTGGGCCAGGTATGAGGACCAGGGAGCGCTGGACGCGCTGCCATGCGCTACTGGGTAGAGCTCTCTTAAGGGAGAAGAGCTTGGAGGAAGATCCCTGGGGGCGTGCAGCCCAGCAAAGGAGGCGATGGGAGCTGGGCTCGCCCCGGGCTCCCAGAGGCTGCGGACTTCAAGTCTTGGGGCGAGGTGGGGGCGTACCCTGCAAGCTGTCTGCGTTCAGGCCAGGAGAGGGAGACTTGGCCCAAAGAAAGTGACTAAGGCAGGCATCGTCGGGAACTCTTGGTGCCATGGGCCTCCAGACAGCCCTCGACCCTACGCGTCTCTCAATCCCGGGCGACGCGGGTGCTCGTTGGGCAGGGCTGCGGGACCCGAGGGCTCAACCCTAGGAGGTCTTAGTGGGACCCTGACAAGGAAAAGCCAGGCACGTGGGCCGACTCTCCCTCGGGCCCCCGCCTACACCTCAAGGCCCCCTTTTCTCGATCAAGTTCAAGCTTGAGCTCCTCGGCACCCTACCCACGGGCCGTCTCCTCCCCTCCCCTCGCCTTCTCTCTATTCTGCACCATCTCGCCTCTCACTCTTCCTTTGTCTCTTTCCCACCACTTAGTTTGTACCCGCCCCTGCACCCCTCCTCTCTGCCCCGCCGCCAGCTCCAGTGTCCAGGCTGCGCTCACCTGTTCGACCCAAACATTCCGGCGACCCCGAGCGCCCGCCGCCCGCTTGCTCCCGGCTGCCTCTGAGGGCCCCCGCCCCACTCCGCGGGTCATTGTGCTCCAGCAGACCACACGGTGCCGGCTCCTTACGGCGCGCTGGCTACAGTTGTAAAGTCACAGCATAATATCAAGAATGCTGCCCAGACCTGGGCGCGCACAGTCCGCAGGGACTCCGCAGGAAAGGGAAGACGCAGGCGGACCCAAGGTGAGGTCCTCCTCCGGGCAAACAGACCTGCCTCGGCTTCAGGAGAAGATAGAATGAGGCGGCGCGAGGTGGCCAGAGGGGTACCCTGAATCTCCGGGCAACCTCGGATTCGCCTCGATCTAACCAGCTAGTATCCTTACGGCAGAATTAAAACATCGACAGAGAAAAATGGGTTAGGGGCAAAGTCCCCCCCCCCAACTCCCCAACACCAAGTCCAAAGCCCGGGTTAGAACACATGGACCCCGAATAAAGCTTGTGCTTTAACAAGGATAGAGAGAGACGTTCGTGAAATTCTGTGGGGAGATGCCCCGCCCCCAAAAAGAAACCCAATAAGGAGCCCACCTCCTGGTTCCTCAGAGGAGGAAGGGCAATTTCTACAGATTCCTTTACGCTACAACTCATTCACAGTGGAGCCAGCAGAGGAGAGCAAACAAGACAGCCACTACGATTGTTTGCAATTTTGAAACAGACTGCCTTTAACCCTCCAACTTTTCTTTTAAAAGCCCTTTTCTTTCTTCCTCTGAAAGCTTTGCATTGTGAACAATCCATGATAGACAAGACTCCCTCTACAGGTTTGATCTGTAATTACAGCCACAGGTTCGGAGCTCCCGGTTCACGGATTAGAAAAAGATGACAACACTTCAAATTATCAGCACACAGACTTCATTCTGCACATGCTAAAGACTTTACTGTCAATATGAAACTCACACTTAAAAAAAAGGATTTAGGCGTGTTGCTCATTAGCGCCTTTTACTCCTGAAATTAAATGTTTTCAAACCGATTCACTTTTCCGCTTTCTCTGTTAGACCTTTACTTCTCATTCTTGGAGATGTGGGAGTCTAGGGTCAAAACTTTGTTCAGTCCTTCTAGGGCAATATGGGCGTTCCCAACATGGAAGCTGCCCTTCCTTACACTGAATGAGATAATTCCAGGCTTAGGATTTCCTGCCTCTTTCCAACACATTTCTTGAGACCTTTGACCTCGCCTGGCCTGAGTCTCTATTTCACAGCAGTGGTGGACATCTGGGCTTGAAATATAAAGCCAAAGGCAGCTGAAGTTCAAAGGTGGAACTGGACCCAGATAACCCACCTCTCCTCAGACTAATAAAAGAGAACAGTGTAGCTGAGGAGGGCAGAATTGTCTTCTGAAGGCACCAAGTGTGCACTCATTTACCATCCTAGAAATAAGACACCCCAATCTCCATGGCCCACAGACTGGGAGGAGACTGCCAGGTACCTTGGCTGGCTAGGCAGCACTTCTGAATGCCAGGAGCCTCCCAAGCCTTGTCCCCACAGAAGCTGCCCCTCCTCAAGGAACCTTGAGCTGGTGGTTTTCAGTGTCCTTGTCCCCCTGGCCTTAAAGTGGCCACAGTGTGGCTCTCCACAAGGAGTTAGGTGACCCAGTTTTTTTAATCAAGAATCTCCCAGCTCCCAGTGTAGGGAGGGTTCCATAGCAAACAACAACCACAACCTGGTCCTTACTCCTTACCACCTTCATGTCCCCTCCAGGCTCAGCAGAGAGGCATGCTTAGAAACAGATGCTAGAGGCATATGCTCTGTGGAACACCTACAAGAAGCCTTAATGACCATGCCCCCAAGACAGAGGCCTGGCCAGGGGACATGAGGAAGGACAGGAACTTAATTCAACCAGAGTGGACACTGTTCAAGCATCTGAAAGCACTGAAAAGTTATTTGTCATCACAAATGACTTCTTTTTTTTCTTTTTCTTTTTTCATTTTTTTAAAGATTTATTTATTATGTATACAGCATGTACGACTGCAGGCCAAATGAGGGCACCAGATCTCATTACAGATGGCTGTGAGCCACCATGTGGTTGCTGGGAATTGAACTCAGGACCTCTAGGAGAGCAGTCAGTGCTCTTAACCTTTGAGCCATCTCTCCAGCCCCCACAAATGACTTCTTAATGACAGAGGGAGAGTACCTGCCCACTAGGATGATGGAACACTCACCTCCCAACCAAGCCATCAAGTCAGCTGCCCCCAAAGGGTGGGGACCTGACAGGACCCTGTGCCCCTTCTGAAGGTAGTAGAAACAACATCTGTGTTGCTTGGTCTCCGTGCCAGGTCCCTCCCTCCCCACAAACTGTTGGAATCTGAATAAATCCAGAAAGAGGGCTCTCCACAGACAAATAGTCTTGGACTATTCAAAACCAACCAGGAATTCAGGGGAGGGTGTGGTGCATGCCTGTAATGCTAGTTACAGGAAGCATGACAGGAGCATCATTACAAGTCTGAGGCCAGTCTGGTCTGCAAGATGCTATCACAAAAGCCAAAATAAAAACAACAAACAAAAGCAGGGGGTGGGTGTCACACGCCTTTAGTCCCAGCAGGGGCAGGCAGATCTCTCTGAGTTTGAGGCCAGCCTAGTCTACAAATGGAGTTCCAGTACAGCCTGGGCTGTTACACAGAGAAATACCTATCTCAAAAACAAAACAAAACAAAACAAAACAAAAAACCAACAACAACAACAAAAAACTAACACTACCACCACCACCAACAACAACAAAACTAACAACCAACCAACCAAAAACCACTTATTGTCATAAATTTAACTGTTATAAATGATTAAGGAAAAATACCAGCTAAATGCAACATGTGGATTCCAGGTGGACCCTGAACATAAGGGTACAAGTAGGGAGAGAGGCAGAAAGTGAGGACAGAGAGAAGGGAGGAGATGGGCTGGAGGAGGCTCAGGTGCCCTCAAGGAGTAGTAGACCAGCATGCTCCCTGACCCTAGACAGCAAAGGCTGGCAACTGAGTGCAGACCTTGAGGCGCGGCCTTCCAGGTAGATCCACAACTGGTATAAAGGTCCTAGGAACATAATGGTGATGAGTGTTCTGCAGCAGGGGGTAAGGCGAGGTGGGGATGAGCATGGCGGGGTCATGTGCGGTCACAGGGCCAGGGGTGCCAAGTCTGTGCACAGCTGAGAGGCACGGGACTTCCTTTGGCCTGCTGAGGGGATGCAAGCTCAGTTAAGTTTCCAGATCAGGGCACCAAAGGGGTAGCAGGAGGGCAAACAGAATACAAGAGGTCCAAGCCAAGACTGGAGCACAGATCTGTGGGAGACACTGGGTTCTCATCCCAAGTACCTCAAAATAAACTAAAAGGATTTATCCCAATGGGACCAATTCAAGCTCTAACAACACACAAATGTTGGCAACCAGGCTTCAGCCTCTGCAGGCCTCATTTCCCCAATAAAAAGTGAATCATGGCCGGGCGGTGGTGGCGCACGCCTTTAATCCCAGCACTTGGGAGGCAGAGCCAGGTGGATCTCTGTGAGTTCGAGGCCAGCCTGGGCTACCAAGCGAGTCCCAGGAAAGGCGCAAAGCTACACGGAGAAACCCTGTCTCGAAAAACAAAAAAAAAAAAAAAAAGTGAATCATAAGATGAAATATGTTCAACCCAGTACTTGACAGAAAGTCTTCTACTTTGAAATTAGAAACCCAAGGGCTGGGGGTGTAGCTCAGTTGGCAGAGTACTTATCTAGCATACATAAGGTCTTGAGTTCAACCTCTAGCACTGTATAAACTGGACATGTCTACAATCCCACACTCAGGAAGTAGAAGCAGGAAGATCTAGGGTTGAAGGTCATTACCGCCTACAAGGTGAGTTCAAGGCCAGCCTGGACTATGTGACACTCCATAAAGAGTGTGTATGGGGGGAACGGGCAACGTGACTCGGTGGGTGAGAGTATTGTTTTCAAGTTTCATGACTTGGGTTCAATCCTCTGAGTCCAATGGTGAAGGGAGAGAACTCACATGCTGCCCTCAACTTCTACACAGAAACACTGTGGTATGCATGCCCCATGTTTTTGTTGTTGATTAAAAAATAAATGACAATGAAGAACTGAGTAGGTGGCTCAGTGGATAAAAGCACTGTGCTGTCTAATTTTATGTCAATTTGACACAAGCTAGTGAGTCAGCTAAGAGGAGGGATCTTCAATTGAGAAATGCCCTTTAAGATCAAGCTTTTAGGCAAGTCTATGGGGCATTTTCTTTCCTTTTTTTTAAAAAAAAATTTATTCATTTATTTAATTAATTTATTTATTTATTTATTTTTCCCTATTATCAGCTTGATACAGTACAAATTCTTATCCTAATAGTGAAATGTTTCACTAAAGCTTGCCCAGTAATTGAGTAAAACCAAAACTTATTATAAGCCACAGTCATCCTAGTGTCCCCCCTGCTATATAGCCTCCCTGGTTCTGTGGGTTGCAGTCTGATTGTTCTTTGCATTTTCTTAGTTATCCATGGAGGAGAGCCCAGCTCATTGTGGGTGGGGCCATCTCTGGGCTGGTGGTCCTGGGTTCTATAAGAAAGCAGGCTTAGTAGGCAAAAGGCAGTGGTGACCCACGCCTTTAATCCCAGCACCAAGGAGGCAGGGGCAGGCGGATCTCTGTGAGTTCCAGGCCAGCCTGGTCTATAGATGGAGTTCCAAGACAGCCAGGGCTACACAGAGAAAGTTTGTCTCAGAATCCCCCCACCCCACCACCACCACCGCCACCACCACCACCACCACCACCACCACCACCACCCCCCGCCGCTGCCACCGCCCCAGAAAAAGTGAGTCATGTGGAACATGCCCCAAGCCCTAAGCAGCACCCCTCCATGGCCTCTGCATCCACTCCTGCCTCCAGGTTCCTGCCCTACTTTAGTTCTTGTCCTGACTTCCTTCAGTGATGAACTGTGACTTGGAAGTGTAAGCAAAATAAACCCTTTCCTCCCCAAATTATTTTTGGTCATGGTGTTTCATTACAGCAACAGTAACCCTAAGACAAGTACTTATACAAGCATGAGGATTTGAGTTTGGCTCTCCCAGTATCCACATAAAAAGCCAGACATGGCTGTACACACGTGCCTGTAATCCCAGAACTGGGGTATAGGAATTGAAGACACCAGCCTGTCCAAAAAACAGCCAGCTCCATGTATAGTGAGAGACCCTGTCTCAAGGGACTGAGGCTGTGAGCAACAGAGGATGCCTTCACGAACACACCTGTATTCATGGTGTGTGTGTGTGTGTGTGTGTGTGTGTGTGTGTGTGTGTGTGTGTGTGTGTGTGTGTGTGTGTTGTGCCTTCCTTTCTGTTGCCTTTAATTTTTGGTGATTGTTTGTTTTTGTTTTGACATAAGGAAATTTTACAGTCTTACAGTCAGGTTTAGTTGGGTTTTTCTCTTCACGGTTTTAGAAGTGCAGGTTTCCATTCCCAAGGTTTCAGTGATTTTATTATAATTCATCTGATTTCTCTCTTTGAACATCTTTGTCTATGCAGCATTAAGTCTCTATTTTAAATTTATGTCCACACAACTACTGAAGTAGAGGTTCAGCTTGCTTTTTTTGTTTTTGAGATAGGCTCTCACATATCCCAGGCTGGCCTGAACTCAGTGTTTATCTGGAAGGCTAACCCTGAACTTTGGATTCTCCAGCCTTGACCTCCAGGGTGCTGGGATTATAATGTTGCCATACCTGCCTGTTTTTATGCATGCGAAGGAGGGAACCTGGAGTTCTGTGTGAGTTAGCTACAAGCCCAGCCTAAATGTGCTTTTGTTTTCTAAATGGTTTCATTCATATTCACACCCACCCGGTCCCCAGAGTCTCACTGTATAGCTGGCCTCCTGCCTCAGCCTGTTGAGTGCTGGATTACTGTGGCCCTCCAGTCTGGTCTGCCTCCCCTCCCTCTCTCCTTTTCCCTCTTTCTCCCCTGATGCTAAGGACTAGAACTAGCACCTCCTGAAAGTGACAGGGAAGTAAGTAGTCTGCTACTG